GGAGAGATCTATCAGGGAAAACTGGGTAAAATTGATTTTAGAGGAGGTTTTTGTCCTCCGTGAAATGTCAAAGAGGACACCTTCTGGAGTAAAGGAACGAGCAACCACCTCAAGAGCTCGTACGTCAGAAAAACCTCTTGCAATAAAAAAATTCAAGACAATAGAGACGTCCCACAAGACAGAGTATCGTGGTATGGGTGGATGAGCAAACCATATTCCTCAGAGAAGTCAATATATGACAGGATGTCAACCGACAGGCGTCCAATCGAAACTTTGATGGCCAGCAGAAATGGACGATTGGTAAGGCCCACAGTGCAATAGGCTTAACCTTCATCATAGAAGTCAGAAAAATGGAGGAAAGACATAAAAGGAGCCGATATGGGATTTAAATTTAATTTCATGCACCAACTATGTCATCTACTCCAAGCAGATTTATAAGCCTGTCTCGTGTTGGGTGCACCCTTGATAAGTTGGGGAGTTGATTGCGAAACTCCCTTGACTGACCAAGGTTCCCTGAAATAGACTACACTATGAGATGCAAGAGACCTTGGAGAACAAGGGGATGAGGTACACCGTCTGGATCTTGAAGAAGGCACTCGAGAGATGGAAGGTCGATAACCATCTCCTGAAGAGGAGAGAACTATGGTTGGGACGGTGATAGAGGAGCCACTATCACCAGGTGCCGGACTGGCGATGTAGATGGAAAGGCAACAGGTAATCAGTGCAAAGGGCAGAAAATCGTAATTCCTTGGAGAAAACATTCATAGCCAGTGCTATTGGATCTGGTCTCCAACTGAAAAAAAACAAAAACGGGGAAGTTGAGCATTCAAACGAGAAGCGAAAATATCTATTTCCAATAGACCCCATAGGTTCCAGATGTCTTGGAAGACCATGGAATCCAAGTGCCAGTCGCTGGAATCTCTGAGATATACCTCATGTTATTTACTGGTTTCTGTAAATTTAGCATCTGATTGAAAATTAAATCATTTTTTTCATGTAGGCTCTTTGAGTCAGAGCCAGGGGAGGTGTGGCTAGGGCTGCATAAACAGAAACAAAAGTGATTTAACTCCTAAAAAGCAGGGAATTGATCAATAAGACTGCAGTGACATAATCTGTACACTAAAACTGCTTCATTAAACTAAAGTTGTTTTGATGCCTGTAGTGTTCCTTTAAGATCACTCAGTGCAGCCAATGGCTGAGCTGTGTACTTACATTTGATAATGAAGTATTGTATTATGGCTTATGGTGTAGTATTCTTAAAAACATTTTTTTTTTCTGAAAAATTTATAAAGATTTGAGCATACGAAACACAGCATATTAATAAGGTCAAAATAGTAAATGCATTAACCCCTTAAGGACCAAACTTCTGGAATAAAAGGGAATCATGACATGTCACACATGTCATGTGTCCTTAAGGGGTTAAAGTTGTATTGGTGCTTTTAGATTCCCCAATAGTATAACTGTCAGGGGTTTTATGATACAAAACAAAATATCTGACACTAATTTGTTGAGTTACACAAAGTTTGGTTGAGTTGCACAATGAATATTCCTCCCTTACCCCCCCCCCCCCTTCCAGTTTACCATTTATACAGAAATATATAAAATATTTTCAGGGGATTATACAGCCTTAATTTAAAAAGATTGAGTATTCAGAGTTGATTAATATATAGATACAAACAAAAAAATCAATCCGCTCTTCTGTGTTGTTTTAAACGAATTCAGGCTTAAAAAACATGTCTAGCACAGTGTGGGAGTAAGTGAGGGAGTAAGTGTACATCTCGTGTTCCCTTGTGAAACATGGGGAACTTCAGTACATTGGATTCCGAGCAGTAGTTCCTTGTTCCACTGGCTAGAAATAAAAGCCTGCTATAAATGGGTTTGTACATTTGAGGAGTGGGTTAATGCCCTGTTGCAGCCTCCCTTGATCTACCACTGCTCATACCCACTCTCCACCCTAACTAGTGAGTGTACAACCGTACTTTCCTGTCTATTAAGGGTTACAGGGTGACAAGCTGCAGGCTTACTGGAAGAGGACGGTTTTGGCAGATAGTGAGGGTATTTGTGATGGATTAGGACTTAAACATACAATTTCCCTGTCTTGCTCAATGTTTACCTACAGGTCAGAAACCTGAGATAAATATGTAACAGAGTCGAGGGCAGATATAAATGGATATTACAAAACGTGTCTATTGCATCATTAATGTAGCCTATTATAAATACGTGGAGCGGATTTTACATAGAAAAATCGTGTCTGACATTTCTGATGTTCATATAATATAATGCCCACTTGCATATTGTTTACGCAAGTAACTCCTGTAGCAGCTGTGAAGCCCCTAAGCCTGGTTTATCACTCATACAATTGCTAGACTGACCCAAGATATATTGATGCCTGCATCCAAGTGATACCACACGTCCAAATTGCCACAAGATACACACATAACATTCCATTCATCTACGTTTAATTAGACTTAAACAAAAACATATACATAATTAGTCATTTACAGGGCAACGGCAGCAAATTTAGCCAGCATAATAATTTAACAAACTGCTAATCTTTTAGTTCACTTATTGTACAGCTCCGTGGAATTTTTTTAGGCGCTTTATAAATAATCTTGTAACCTGACCTTTGACCCAATGTCCTTGAGGGTTCAGTTGCAGCATGCACAGAGCGGACAGATGCCCGAAAGACACACACAACATCTTATTGACGATTGTGAAATGCAATCATGCTCTATTCACACAGGAAAATTAGAAACCTCCCTGCACAGCCATACAATAAGTTGTTTGTTTGTTTTTTTAAACTGCGTGTACCTCAGTGTCAAACTATTGTGTAATATAGCAAAGCCACTGATTTTTATTATTATTTATATTTATAATGCGTCAGCACATGCCGCAGTTAATACTGTGACAATATGGAGTTGGTACAGAAAAAGTCTTGAATACAGACGTTTGAACATGGATCTTGCTTGAGACAAGCGTACATGGCCTTAACTCATTCTTAAAAGAACACTATAGAACACTATAGGTCTGAATAGCTGTTTAGGCCCCTGACCCCCCCTCCCCCCCTTACCTCTGGTTAAAAAGGTAATTTTTCTGGGCCCGCCCATGCTCTGCCCCCTTAGCGGAGAACATCAAAGAAGCATTAGGAGGCTATCACGCATGTGCTGAAACATGTTGCGCTGTGCCCCTGGATTTTTCAGCTTGTTCTGCTATTTTTTGTTTCAGTGTGAGAATACAGTGCAATACCGGTGCCAGCCAGTAGGTGGTGCTGTGTATGGAGAAAGGCAGCGATAGGAAGGTACAGCTTATCCCTCCTTCTTCTCTCTCACAAACCACAGGGGAGCAGCACAGAGTGTAGCCAGCAGCTCCCAGCATGCAGCGGCAGCCTACAGATCAGGTAAGTGAGGCATGGGGGGCAGCCTACAGATCAGGTAAGTGAGGCGTGGAGGGGGGGCAGCCTACAGATCAGGCAAGTGAGAAATTGGGGGGCAGCCTACAGATCAAGCAAGTGAGGGATGGGGGCACCCTAAAGATCAGGTAAGTGAGGCATGGTGGGGAGGGGCAGCCTAGAGATCAGGTAAGTGAGGGATGGGGGGAGACAGCCTACAGGAATGTAAAGTAGAAAAGGGAGAAATAAGCAGAAAGGTTCTGCAAGGAGTAGGAGGGGTCAGTAAGGAGTAGGAAGGAGCAGCAAGGAGTAGAAAGGAGCAGGAAGGGTCAGCAAGGAGCAGAGTGGGTCAGCAAGGAGTAGGAGGGGTCAGAAAGGAGTAGGAAGAGGCAGCAAGGAGCAGGAAGAGTCTGCAAGGAGCAGGAAGGGGCAGCAAGGAGAAAGAAGGAGCAGGAAGGGGCAGAAAGAATCAGAAGGAGCACAAAGGTAAAGTAGGGGAAGAAACAGAAAGTGTCTAAAAGGAGCAGAAAGGGCAGCAAGGAGCAGGAAGGGACAAAAGGAGTTAGAAAGATGAAGGAGCAGAAAGAATCAGGAGCACAAAGGTAAAGTAGGAGAAAGAACAGAAATTAACAGAAACCGTCTGCAAGGAGCAGAAGGGGCAGCAGGAGCAGTAAGGGACAGAAGGAGAACAGAGGTAAAGGAGCAGAAAGAATCAGAAGGAGCACAAAGGTAAAGTAGGAGAAGGAGCAGAAAGGGGCAGCAAGGAGCAGGAAGGGACAGAAGGAGCACAAACAAAGGAGGAGAAAGAATCAGAAGGAGCAGAAAGGAGAAGGAACAAAAGGTAAAGTAAGAGAAGGAGCAGAAGGAGAAGGAACAGAAGCAGGAAGGAACAACAAGGAGCAGAAAGGAGAAGGAACAGAAATGAGCAGGAAGGGAAATCAAGGAGCAGAAAGGGTCAGCAATGATCTGGAAGGGGCAGAAGGAGGACAAATGTAAAGTGGGAGAAGGAACAGAAATGAGCAGGAAGGGACAGCAAGGAGCAGGAATGGCCTGCAATGAGAAGGAAGGGTCTGCAAGGAGCAGCAAGGGATCAGAAAGAGAAAGGAGCAGAAGAGCACAAAATAAGCAGAAGGAGCAGAAAGGTAAAGGAGCAGAAGGAACCAAGGAGGAGAGAAGACCGTGTCAGAAGAAAAAGAAGACTGTGTCAAATGAAGGAGAAGAAAATGGGATTGGAGCAGGAAGAACAAGTGAAGTGATCCCTCCACTTCATTCTGGACACCACATCATAAGGCTTTGGTACCTGGGCCTGGCAGGGAAACTTTGGACCTTCTCATCTCCCCAGTGTTAATGTGTTCACTTTTATTTACTGAGTGTCAGGAAACACAGAGGGCTGCTGGGTAGGGGTGCCGCTGACTGGCTAGAGAGGTTAGCTGGCACTCTAAGCCATTCAGCAGCTCCCCATTCATAAAAAGGTAAAACATTTTCATGAATCAGGAACTAGCAATTGGCTTAGAGCGTCAGCTGACAACTCTAGCCAATCAGCAGCACCCATGTCTGACGTCAATCTGCACTTCCTGACACTCCATTTCAGAAGCCGAATACCACTGAGCGACCTGGAGATCTGGAGCTGGAGGAAGTCTTTTGGATTAAACCATCTGAGAACGGTTTCACACCTTAAAGGAAAGAGAGCCCTCCTTGCATCATTTAGATGAAGTTTTTATGATGACCAGAATGTTGCTTTAATTTGCTTAAAGGAACACTATAGTGTCAGGAATACCTTTATGGGATAATGACTATGCTCCTCCCCTTCATGACACTGTCAAAAAGGGGCCAAGCATGGATGTAATTACAATTGTGCCCCCATGGAGCATGGAGCATGGAGATGCTGAACGTCAGTGCTGCACAACCCAGGAAGCACCTCTAGTAGCCGTCTGAGTGACTTCCACTGGAGGTGTCCCTAGGGAGCAATGTAAACACTGCATTTTCTCTGAAAAGGCAGTGTTTACATTAAAAAACCTGCAGGGAACATACTGTACTCACCAGAACGCCTACATTAAGCTTTAGTTGTTCTGGTGACTATAAGGTCCCTTTAACCCCTTAAGGACATGTCATGATGCCCTTTTATTCCAGAGGTTTGGTCCTTAAGGGGTTAAAGTGTAACTTTATATCATGTATAGAGTAAGGTGTACAAGAATGCTGGAGACATTGTGAAACTGATCCACAAATAGGAAGCTGACAAATTCTTCTTTAGGTAATTTAGAAACAGTTAAAATCACATCATGCTCACTAAATTACCAGCAAATATAAAGATTAATTCTCATACAACCCTTTGAAGGATTTAATAATGTAACATAGGTCCTCTCCTACACCATGACTAGGCTTATTTAGTAAAACACAGGAAGATGCTATTTCACATACATATATCGCTATTATATAAAAAAATACAACATGACAAATGTGTTTCTCTGAGATATGTTTTATTAGGTCTCACACATTTTCTTAAAAATAAAAACAGATTTTATTTTGTTTGCAGTGACCACTATTTTTGGACCACTACCATTTAATTTACTGTTTTATAGTTTTAAATAAATATATGATTTTTAACTACGCTGGTGTCTGCGTCTTTCCATTCAAAAGAAAGATACATGAGGCTCTAGCAAACGTGAGTGCTTTTCTAATCTTTCAACACTGTAACATTTCATAATATTGTATACAACTGGAATCGTTTTCTTCCTTTTATGTGTATTGACATGGAATCTTTCTGATGTTAGTGTCATTCATAAACATCTTAATAAATAAAATAAAAATGTAAAACAGTGTGGATCAAATCAAATCCCAGCAATGTTGCTGGAGCTTGGTGCGCCAGCAATTGCTAAACTTGTCACTACCCTAATCAATGAATCCCTGGTGTCTGGATACATGCCCAAACTTTGAAATACTGTGGTGACAATACTTTGGTTTCTAACTATCGCCTGATATCATTGCTCCCAGTATTGACAAAAATCTTGGAAAAATGTGACCACACGCAACTATGTGAATATTATCAACAATCAAACTATCTGGCTACTGATCAATCAGGCTTTCATCCAAATCACTCAACTTCGACTGCCCTCTTTACAGTTTGCAATGATATCCAAATTGGCATGGAACAAGGAGACTTAACTGGAGCTATTTTCCTTGATTTTGCCAAGACCTTTGACACAGTAGACCATACGTTCTTTTTCAAAAACCTAAAAACTCAGATATTCGTGATTGTCCACTAACCTGGCTTCAATCATATGTATCAGACAGATTGCAATATGTTACCATTTCTGATAGCGCCTCCCTCCCTCTTCTAGTCACGTGTGGTGTTCCCCAAACTAATCATTAAATACAGATAATTCATTACATTTTGCCCCATATATTGTATTTTTTTTTTAAATATCTATTTGTTTCTTGGTGTTTGTATGTTTATCACTCTGCATAAAAAATATTGAAGGTCCATTTTTCCTCTAGCAAGCTATAACGTATATTACATGTTAAAGGCATTTTATCACATTTGCTTTAGAAATTGGGTTTATATACATTGATTTGCTCTTTATCACACCCCCCTTTTACTGTGAGAGTTTCTTGGACAAGTCAAACCAGGAGAGTATCAGCTCAAACCATCATATATGTACAGATATTACATAGATATAAAGGTGCCTGACATAGGTCTTCAGGGGGCATAGCCAAAATCTGTCCTTGTCTTATGAGTTCATTCGGTTTTATTTCGGTCTACAATCAAATATGCCATGCCATACACCATATGATTTTATATTTCTCACCTTGTCATAGTCAATTCGTATTTTACCCCACAGTCCAATATGCCATGTTTCATACCATGTCCTCATACGTGATATAATTTCATATTTTACCTTGTTACATCATTGGCAATATACTTCATAGTAATTTTGCATGTACCGTCATCAATTCATATTCCACCCCACAGTATTATATGGATACGCCATATCACTTCATATTATATATAGAGGGCATAATGTTCTCCCCCCAGCCAAAAATGCATTTATTCTGGAGGACTTGACCCTTTGGCTCTATGCTGTGGATGCCCATGCATATACATAAGTATAACAGATTTTTATTCTCATTTACTTAAGCTCTTTTGTGTACCGATTCATGTATTGTTCGTCTATAAAACAAGCCATTTAACTAGTGCAAGATTATTTGCTCAGGAAAATGTGAGTAAATTCACTAATTAAATTAAAGGTGTGTTGTACTGGAGCTGGAGGGATAAAGGTCACTCTAAGAAGATAAATACTTATAGTAAAAATTAGCTTTCTGACTTTTTTTTGTTTTGTGGTTTTTGTGGTTTTTTTAAGTATGTTTCTTTTTCTTTGTAAATTGCGAAATTCGGTATAGAACAGCACAGCTGTTACTATAAGACAGTTAGACAATGTTTTCAAATTAGCTCTTTTTGTCCACATGTTGAAATTCAGTTTCCAATTAACTGCTTAGTTAATAACCTAATGCAAGATCAAAAACAATAATGTATAACTAATATGCAATGTAGCTGTTTGGATATCTATTTATTATTAGTGTATGTGTCTTAGGTTACAGATCATGAAGTAATTATTGAAGTTTTTATTTTTTCATACCATCTGTTTGGATTTTATTTTGTACTTTCGTTTCCCTAAACCCAGCTCTATTTGTGCGACACAGAGAGACTTTGATTCATGATCTTTGAAACCAAAGACAAATAAACCTCCATCCAGAACCTTAAATACACACGACCAAAAAAAATAAATAAAGATAATAAAAATTTAAAAAATGCAGCAATAACAAGAAGATAAGATTTAAAAAAACCAATTATCTGGAAAAGGTTTCAGTTAACTGGAAATTCCGTCACAGTTCCCTTCCCTCCATCCCTGCGGGTTAGAAAGTTACACACAAAGTCACAGCAGCCCTCAAGGTGCCTAATCTTGCAAACAGCTGGTAGATATATCCTTGGGGTCTGATTATATGGAGGAGGTTAAATAGTGTCATTACAAAGGGCCATTCGGAATCCATGTAATTGCATTGTTTACTGCTCTCCCTGTAACACCATACTTTTCACGTCACACTATTTGATCAGGTCTGTGGCACTCAAATGAATTCCTTTACAGGACAACTGTCACCTCAAAACTATTTTTAATATAATAATCCTTTCACCAAGCTTTTTTTTAATATATATTTATTTGTAAGTCTTTATTTTATTGTGGTTTTCATTAGTAACAAACATACCTGCCCTGCCACGACAGCATGGACGAGTATCATGTTGTCATACATAGTAATCGAAAGACATGGCTGAAATACATTATGCACATTTTTAAGAATAAGAGGGAAACTTGGAGAACGGCATTGTCTAGCGATTTGGCTGAAGAAGCATATGTCGTCAGTATGCTATACATTATTAAACAATACAGGGAGTGCAGAATTATTAGGCAAGTTGTATTTTTGAGGATTAATTTTATTATTGAACAACAACCATGTTCTCAATGAACCCAAAAAACTCATTAATATCAAAGCTGAATATTTTTGGAAGTAGTTTTTAGTTTGTTTTTAGTTTTAGCTATGTTAGGGGGATATCTGTGTGTGCAGGTGACTATTACTGTGCATAATTATTAGGCAACTTAACAAAAAACAAATATATACCCATTTCAATTATTTATTATTACCAGTGAAACCAATATAACATCTCAACATTCACAAATATACATTTCTGACATTCAAAAACAAAACAAAAACAAATCAGTGACCAATATAGCCACCTTTCTTTGCAAGGACACTCAAAAGCCTGCCATCCATGGATTCTGTCAGTGTTTTGATCTGCTCACCATCAACATTGCGTGCAGCAGCAACCACAGCCTCCCAGACACTGTTCAGAGAGGTGTACTGTTTTCCCTCCTTGTAAATCTCACATTTGATGATGGACCACAGGTTCTCAATGGGGTTCAGATCAGGTGAACAAGGAGGCCATGTCATTAGATTTTCTTCTTTTATACCCTTTCTTGCCAGCCACGCTGTGGAGTACTTGGACGCGTGTGATGGAGCATTGTCCTGCATGAAAATCATGTTTTTCTTGAAGGATGCAGACTTCTTCCTGTACCACTGCTTGAAGAAGGTGTCTTCCAGGAACTGGCAGTAGGACTGGGAGTTGAGCTTGACTCCATCCTCAACCCGAAAAGGCCCCACAAGCTCATCTTTGATGATACCAGCCCAAACCAGTACTCCACCTCCACCTTGCTGGCGTCTGAGTCGGACTGGAGCTCTCTGCCCTTTACCAATCCAGCCACGGGCCCATCCATCTGGCCCATCAAGACTCACTCTCATTTCATCAGTCCATAAAACCTTAGAAAAATCAGTCTTGAGATATTTCTTGGCCCAGGCTTGACGTTTCAGCTTGTGTGTCTTGTTCAGTGGTGGTCGTCTTTCAGCCTTTCTTACCTTGGCCATGTCTCTGAGTATTGCACACCTTGTGCTTTTGGGCACTCCAGTGATGTTGCAGCTCTGAAATATGGCCAAACTGGTGGCAAGTGGCATCGTGGCAGCTGCACGCTTGACTTTTCTCAGTTCATGGGCAGTTATTTTGCGCCTTGGTTTTTCCACACGCTTCTTGCGACCCTGTTGACTATTTTGAATGAAACGCTTGATTGTTCGATGATCACGCTTCAGAAGCTTTGCAATTTTAAGAGTGCTGCATCCCTCTGCAAGATATCTCACTATTTTTGACTTTTCTGAGCCTGTCAAGTCCTTCTTTTGACCCATTTTGCCAAAGGAAAGGAAGTTGCCTAATAATTATGCACACCTGA